ATGATGTAGTGTAACTCTGTTGTCAATAGTTAAAGGTGGTAATTGGGAATTTATAAATTTCTAGCAGGAATCCACCTATCGATTAAAAACTGATGCGTACACATACACTTTTAGTTCTGATTTAGGTTGATAAATAGATCAACTCATAGATGATCTTTATACTTTTTATATTCTACGCCTTTGTAATAATAATTGGTTCCAAAAAGCTGAATATATCCAAGACTTTTCTAAATGTTTATCAATCAATTTGACTAAGTATTTCATTCCCCTTAACCAATGATATACGAAAGCTTGTTCGTTGTTTGAATTACTTTTAGGGGTGATAGATTGTAAAAACTGTGAAAACTAGAAATTTATATTTCATGTCATAATGTTTAGTTGAAACGAAATCAAAATACACTCAGCAACCTTGTGCTAATTCCTGAGGTAGGCAATGAGCCACACCTATAGTGTTTGCGGGCTATTTGGGTGTTATTGTTTTTGCATCCTGTGATCACTCAAATTGACCGCTTTAGACAATGCAGATGATGTATCAAAATGAAACAAGGAGGCGACTGATCACTACTGTTCTTTTGATGGAATGTCTTAAAGTAAGTACAATACCTTTTAAATCGTGAATCATAGTTTTCAGTCCATGAACTTGGATGATATGGTGGTGACAATAAATTCACTTGACAAAAATGTACTAGTTATTTGGTTGGAGGCAATCGACAGGAAGTCCTGGTTGATTTGAGTAGGTTTCGTGCTTGCTGGAGCTCGTCAGCAAGGTGTGTTGTCAACTTCGACGAAACTGACCTCTCCTCTAAGGTTCGGATGTCACCCAGTGCTACAGTAAGGTTTGGTTTCTGATTGAACTACTGGGTGATGCAAGTTAGAATCTCTGGGAGTACGCCTTGTTAATGCCAACAAGTAAAGCGATTGCTTCCAACAAACTGGTATCATGGAAAGTGCGCCGCAATGATGATTCGCCTAGCTTAGTGACTGAATAACCACTTTCATTTAAGCTTGATGATCTTATCAATGTTATTTAACTACTATAACATGATAATTCAAGCCAAATCTTAGGATTTATGGTACAATCATTCTACCTAAACACAAATGATACTGCAAATATATTTGTAAATGAGTATGAACGCCATTTATCATATTCGCAATCTAGAGAGTAGGCGTTAGAAAGTAGTTGAAGCTGGTTATACTAATAAGTTATGAAGTTTGTTTGAACATGTTCAGTCTTCGTCAAATCACTGACTGTTTTGACAACCGGTGTCATTCAAGCGAAGGTTAGGATGGAAAAACCTGCAAGTAGCCAAGCCAAAACACGTCATCAACTAATGATAAAGACAATATGCATGTTGTTTTTGCCTGCATGACGAGATTATAGCGTTGATGATTGTTCTGACAGATATAAATAGTTAGGACTTATAAATAATTCGTTATCATTTGTACAACTAAACAGGATTTGTTTAAAGATGCTTTGAAATATATATTCTAATATATTTATAAGTAACTGACTATTAACACAATATACCGCACAAGCTCGAAAATCTACAGGCGAAAACCAACAAGCTGACAGAAGAGGCGAGACAGCGAAGACAGGACACCCTTCAAATGACCTTAGAGAAGACAGAAGCGATGAAGATACCCAACCAACAAAAACAACAACAAGCACCAATCACCATCAACGAATGAAATCTAAACGAAGTTGTCTCTTTCACCTACCTGCCTAGGCAGCACCGTCTCAACTACAGGCGGTGGTGGCAGCACAGATGAGGACATCAAAGCCAGTATCGGAGAGACAGCAAGACAGGTCTTCATTAATCTGAAATGATCAGTGTGGAGACCTACTGCACTGAGCTGCACTTAGCATAAAGCGTGAACAAGATCCGGATTTTCAACACTAATTCAGTCGAGCAAGGCAATGCTTCCATGTGATGGTTGAGAGACTTGGGGTGTCACGAAAAGCATTTCCAACAAACTGAAGACATACACCACACGAATAGCTGCCGCCTACACTCACTCGATACTGACACTGAAGATCAGATGACCAGAATAATGTGAATAAGCAACAGGGAACTGTGGCTGGCTGACTGGCAGTCAACCAACCAAGAAGCAGTCGCCCAACAAATATGCAGAAGAAGAATGTGTAGATGGATTGTATTGGGCATACACTGAGAAGACGGTTTTGGGGACATCACGCGTCAGGCGAGGCCAGACCAGGCGCTTGAGTGGAAGTCGAATGAGAAACGACGAGTTGGGTGTCCAAGGGTGATATGGAGGTGGTTGTGTGAGGAAGAAATGAAAGCTTGTGGGCAGTCATGTGGCCATTTTCGAAAGGCTGTAGAGAAGAGAGTAAACTGGCGAGGTGCTACTGAAGCTCTATGTTCCACTAGGAACCCAAAAGACAAATAATAGTAGTAATAATATAACATACCGCAATAAACTCCCCAAAGTAATGGATATCTATGCTTATTCTATAAAATACTGTCAGGATTTTACTTACTGTTACAAGCTGTATCAGTTTATAGGTGTGATTATTTTCTGTCCTGGGTCCGTATCGAAATCGAGAAAATCAAATCGAAATTCTCTCAGCAATCTTGTACACATTCGTGCAACAACCAATGAGGCACATCTATTGTATGAGGGCTAATAGTACTACTACCTGAATGTTCAGTCTCAGTATGTGGAACTGGGTTTGAACTCGTTACCTATTGGGTCACTGTCACCACTCAGATAAGCTATAAATAAGTTTCGGAATGCATCGAAACTCTCTCTTTCGATTTGGAGGTTTGTGTGAATTTATTGGTTTCACGTTGGGATTCATCACAGACTGATATCACTTGAGGAAACATTAAAAACTTGAAGGTACTGGAAAGTTGTTTCTTCTTGGTTTGGAACCCTCCAGCAGTGCGCACCCGGTGGCTCAACGGCAACGTGCTCGTCGGGAAATTTGAAGGTTCCGTGCTCCATCCTTTGTGCCGTCATGGATGCGCATCGCCGCGGAGTCCCATACTAGGACGGAACCTCTCTCCAGTACTCCAAGGCTTTCGATGATTCTTTTCAGCTGATGTCAGTCTGTGATGAGTGCCAACTTGCAATCAATCAGATTTCATAGGCACTAATTTTGTATTTGCTATGCAGTTGAGAATTGTCTACAGGCTGGATACATCAATCGTTGGTAGTAACGACAAACTAAATATTCTTCTGTTTACTAGAATAAAGTAGTTGCCCAATCGTCAGTTCTATGATTTTGTCATTTCAAAACATTGTCCACTAACTAGCTTCACTTCTTTAACTGAATATTATTCATTCTCTTCTGTGATGTTTACCAACCCATAGTTATGAGATTTTGACCTCTAGACCGTTGGTATTCATAACTGTACTCTTTCTGTTCTTCTTTTGTTTCGCTGTTCCTAATTTTCATTACTAAGATTCTATGATATCGACGAATATATATATCATCCATTTAGATGTATTTTTTCCAGTTTTTTTTGAAAGAATTCCTCTTTTTTTCTCACTTGGACCTCGATTGTCTACTAAGTTTCCTAGTGCGTATGCATAGAATATGGTGTTCAGTGCATTCTGTAGGCTTCTGAATAATTAGGATTCACTTTTTTCCTCAATTACTCTATCTCTGATAACTAAAAGGTGTTTAACTGAAACTCAAAGTAGTAGAGTTTTTAAAATTTGCAATTACATTGGTTTTTCAAAACAATGTAAGTTTTTCCCAGTCAAAATGCATGTTTGCAGCACATAAATGTTTCAGTGTTTTTTTGTGAAGGTGGTTACTGTGTGTATGTGCTTGTTTGTGTGCTCATTTGTGGGTTTTCCACACAAACGTAGGTCCTTTTGGTGCTACTATGCATGAATAATTACTGTCACAATGTGATAAAAAAAAGTAGTCAAGAGTATGCGGCTCTTGTGCCTCAATAACCCAGTGGATAAAGCCATGAAGCGATGGTTGTGGGGTATGAGCTTCAGTTGGAACACTGTCACTCACTGGGGTGTAAGTTCATCCAGCTGATGTGTCCGAAATAGGATGAAACGCGTTTCTTAGACATCCCACTTCTGGTTAACTAAAACGAAAACAGGATGGGAGTTTATACACTAGTGTCTATGGAAAACCACGCTCCAATTGTTACTCAGACTTCAAATCATCGCACCAAATGTCAGTTGAAGTTGGCTTAGTAAAATGTCTTAGCGACAGGGCCAAGACATGAATAATATAAGTAACAGCTGCTTATAGTAACATTGTGAAGGCAGAATTCCAAACCTCTAAAGTATTACTATGCAAGGAAGGTATCCAAGAGACTTTCAGTAGGATTCTCAATAAGACTGGGATTAGAGTGTCATTTAGACCTGAAAACTCAATTGAAAATGAGATTTGTAGGTTAACAGATCCTATCGATCCAATTAGGCAGACTAATTTAGTTTACCAAAATCCCTTTCAACTGATGTGAGACCATGTACATAAGTCAAAGTAGTTGATCAGGGTTAATTAGGCTATCCGAGCACAAAATCTCAGCTAAATCTAGAGAAAAGCTCAGTCATGGCTATTCGTGCAATTGCACACAACTACAGAATCGGATAGAACGGAGTGACAATCCTTTAAACTAACTTAGTGGGGTGGAAAGGGAGGTTGATAACCAAATCTTTGTTCACCAAATCAACAGGAATTACTTGGCACCTGTTCCGGATATATAGAAAATCCTACTGACCACCTATATTAAAATGGAATTGATAAAACGAGAACTATAGAAACTATGCCTTAAAGTTGTAGAGTTATCCTGATATGACAATGGACGATAAATTGTATCCTGCCTCCTGTTCCGCTGTGTGATACATCTAATAAACAGACTTAAATGAAATTACACTGTAATTTTATTACATGTGCACATAGTCTGTCTTCACTTTGCAAACCGAATTCTCTATATACAGATTAAAGTAAATGTTATTTGTTTATGTGCCATTGGTCACTTTTCTGTTTCATCTTCTTATCATAGGTTCCTGTCGACGATTTACATTTAGCTTCAGAAGCCTTAATCAAAGCCTTATTACTACGTCAGAAGTATATCACATCATCGCATCAGACATTTCATCGTACTACTGCACGTTATTTAAGTGTATTGCATTCAGGTTCAGTAAAATTGTTAGATCATGAAGAGAAACGTTACAAATCTGTACATACTCCTGTATTCGGTAAGATATTTTTCTTATATTTTCAAGGTAAAATATCCATTTTCACTTTGCTAACCTTTTTTGAGAGTCTTTTTATCCAATGAGTTCTTTCATGACTTTCTAATGGAAATATTTGTTTCTTATTTATATCTCTAAATGTTTCAATCTTTTTGTATGTTAACTTGACATGAACTGTTGCTGTTTGAATAGTTGACTGACTCTTTGGATCCTGGAGGTGTGTACTTTGATATGAACTTGAATAAAAAAAATAACTATATTCGGGGAAAAGATAAGAATTTTATTTAGCTGAAGTCAGTCGGCAGAAAGCCTTCATGCTTTTTGGCACTCGTCTGTAACATCAATGGAATTGATGTCTCACCTGGGGTTCGAACCTGTATCACTCGGTGCTGCAGTCAGCCGCGATTGTTTCCTGTAGGGTTAAATTACGTACATTGATTGGTAACCAACTTCATGTTGTTTCAAGTGCTGATTGGATTCTGTTAGTCAGTATCTCAGTGGATGGCGATGGTAAGTCTGGTGGCCACATTGCAAAAGTGATTGGTAGGATTCGATTAGTACTTGGGACTAAACAACGTGGAGTTGGGTTACCCTCCAGTGACTAATCCATAAACATTTCGGAATTGAATAAGATACCTAATAGTTCATCATTTCTAGCTCAGTTTTAAACGTAGATATACTGTCTGATTTCTGTTCATAAACTATGTATAAACTGATAAGCTGTATTTCAGCTAAGAGTCTCTTTTTTTGGCGATTCCATTCTCGAAGCCATACAATCGTGAATTTATGTATTTTTCTTGTGTTAGGATTTAATAATTAAAGTAGTTTGCCCAGCATGGGAACAAAATTAGTATCAATACATAAGCTTTCATTAATATCAAAAAGTGAAATGAGTAATGAGGGCTAATTAAAAAATCACTGTAGTTGCATAAAGTTTTTCTGAGTTCGTAACATGACCAAAATATTTGGAAACTGAAGTGTGGTGAAAAAGAGTGTAGAAACAAGAATGAATGGTAGATTATGCGAGAAGAGAACAGCGTAGAAAGAAAGACATGATTTCAATGATCGAAAATTAAGGCCACGTAAAGTGAAGAGGTTGAAGTGTAATATAGGTTGTAAATTTGGGCACTATGGTAGAATTTAATTCCACGTTAGATTTGTTTACTTGATTTATAATGCACAGTGATCTAGTATTATTTACTTGATGACTAAGTTTCGAGCATAAATTATCACTAATCATAATCATATCAATGTAATCACACTACTTTAGACATTTAATTTTTATTTCAAGTTGTTATTCATCAAAGACTGACATCAGTTGGAGGAACAAAGGAAACCTGGGAGCACTGGACAGCTGTTTCGTCCTAGTATGGGACTCCTCAGCAGTGCGCACCCACGACCCCACCAGCAGGGATCGAACCCGCGACCTTCAGGTTCCGCGACCAGCGCGTTACCATATCGTGAGCTAACAGAAGTTGGAAATATGGAGCATTGGATTCTGACCCAGTGGCTCAATGGTAACGTGCTGGCCACGGACCTGAAGGTCGCGGGTTCGATCCCTGCTGGTGGGGTCGTGGGTGCGCACTGCTGAGGAGTCCCATACTAGGACGAAAACAGCTGTCCAGTGCTCCCAGGTTTCCTTTGTTCCTCCAACTGATGTCAGTCTTCGATGAATAACAACTTGAAATAATTCCAAATCTCCACAACCCCTCAAAATTTAATTTAATTTTTATACTTACGTCATCTCACATGATTTGTTTTTATTGGTAGTAAAATCCTCCATATCTCTGGTATAGATAGGTGTTGCGTCATTTCTATGACATGTGTTGGATTGAGTGTTGATTCGATGAACAAAGATTCAGTTACCAATCTCTCTCACTATCCACCTAATTACATTGGACTTAAGTATAGTCGTTTTATCCCACCCACTACATTGTGTGGTTAAGTGTTATTGCGTGTATAGCAATAGCCGAGTTGTTTTCTAGATTATTGATCTTGTTTAGGTCTGTTATTCTATATTTAGCTAAATTCCTAGGTTCTCCTATTCTAACTGACCCCGACCGACTAGTTTGACCTATGTACTTGACCTGACAGTCATTACATGGAATTTGATAGATTAGATTACTTTGCTTAATTGGTCTTATCTGGTCCGATAAAGTTTATCTCTGAGTGAGTTTGTAGGTTTAAATACCATCCTAATTCCAGCTTTGTTGAGGGATCCTACATAAAGTTTCTGATATCACCTTCCTTATAGGGTAACACAACGAAAGCTGTGAACTCCTTTGTAAGGCCTCTTTTCAATTTGTAAATGACTTTGAATAAGAGCTTAATCATAGCTCTTCTTATCAATCCATGCAGCACGGTGGTTATACAGCTTTGGAAATGAAATAGTCACAAAGACACTTCTCTGAAATACTTCTTCTTTCATGACCTGGTGGGGTATCTTTCACCCGATAAACTGTGATCTATTTTTGATATGAATCTGATGAAAGTGGCTTAATACGCTCACACTCACAAGTTGAGCATGTTTTCTGCTGGAGTACTGTTTAGTAACCGACTCATTGTTTCATACTTTTCACCTGCATTTTTAAAGTATTATCATACATATGATGTGTACAAAGGTAGTTAATCTGTTGAACGTGTTCTTTTGCTGTACACTTATTAGTACTACTGTAATAAAGACGTAAGTATGGTATATGCTTTGCACCATTAGAGTGTAAAGTACTGTTGCAAGATTGCCAGGAGCCTGTAGCTACGGTCATCCTTGGTGGTGAGTTGTTGAAAGTAGTCGAAAAGTCCGTGTATTTGAGTGGTTTTGTGAGTGCTGGTGAAGGTATGAGCGGGGAAATTTTCATCTGCATACAGAAAGCCTGAGTGGCATACGTCAATCTGAGCCACTTTTGGACCACCACGCCTGTGAAACCTGGCCTCTTCGAGCTGAGAATATGCAATGACTCTGTGTTCGACCATTTTTGTCTCCGTAGGATTGCTTGTATCTGGTGGCAACGCCGTGTAAGTAATCCTGAGGTGCGGCAGTGTGTGTCTAGGCATGACGGAAGTCGTCATTGAATAAGTGGTCATCTGTAAACACCGGTTTTAGTCTCCTTGACATGTGTTACTCATGTCGTCCCAACGGATTCCACACCCTTCATTGTCTGCTAACCCTTGGACTGGATGAAGAAGTGGGGGTGGGTGGTCAGTGTATGACGTGATGCCGTGGGATGAAGCATAGCTGTATCGAGTTAGCATCTGTTGGTTCATCACGACTCTCTTGGTGGGGTCCGAGAGATCCGGCAACTCAGTGGCTTGAGACGCTGTCATACATGTCTCACAATGGAAATCAGTTGTGGTCATACTGTAACCTCCTTTTATCTTCTGCTGAAAAGGAGTGATTGTTTCGCTTTGAATGTACCTTCCTGGAGTGGCCTTCTGATCATTCTATTCTAATTGCGTTTTATTTTTATCTACTTCCCTGGGCTTTATGTTTTCATAATGTTGTTATATTATTTTGCATGGTGCATTTCTTACTGCCCTTTCTGTAACACGTTTGTCTTCTAGTAAAATAAAGAACTGGATCTGATGTATCTATCTGTGAATAAAATTATTATCAGTTTGGCTATCTGAGATTGCCATGGTTTGGCAGACTTGTATTATTGAAATTAAGATCCGTCTGACAGCTGCGTAGCCCAGTTGTTAGAGCACTGGAGCGCCGCCATCCAGATTTTCATTTCATCTTCAATCATTACCCAGTCAACTGGTCAAAACAATGATCAATATGATGCTTCCTCTTCCTAATTCCCATGTGGTAGAGATTAATCGGTCATTTACTTGCTCTGCCTTTGGATTCTTTTTCTTTTCTCATGGTTCTTCTTTAACCCCTTTTGGTTAGACTGACTATTATTCGCCTGACGTACATTTTAAGTTTATATGGCGTTTGTCATATAACCGGTCGTTATTGAAAAGGATGAGTTAGCCATAGTCAAAATACGGTGTGCATATCTGAAGATAATGTTCATCAGCAACTGATATCAGTTGGAGAACCATTGAGAACATGGGATAGGTGTTTCGCCCCAGTATAGTTATCCTCAACAGTACGCTTCTACGTTTTCAATGATTCTCCAGGTGATATTAGTCTGTGATGAATATTACCTTGAAACGAATAAATCCTCACAAACCTAAAAGTATAATACTGCCTAGTGCTCATTAATAGTGTGCTTCTAGTTGGATATCCTGATTTTCCAATGAAACTTGAGGGGTCAACCAGGTCGGATGTGAAACAGATGCCAACTGGGATGACCTTGGATGATAGTCGTGCTTTATCACGAATTAATAGAAGAAGGAAACTGTTAACGGTCGAACTCTGACCTACTGACTGAATAGTTAACGTGCTCGCCGTGAGAGGTGGAGGTCCTGAGTTCAGTCCTTGACGGCGGAGTGGTAGATGCGCGTACTCTTGAGGAGTCTCATACTAGAATGAAACAGCTGTCCAGTGCTCCAAGGTTTTCACTGGGTCTCCAAATGATTCCAGTCCGTGATGAATACTGATTTGAAATAAATAAATCTTCACGAACTTTGAAGTATGTGTATATGTATACTCGTTTCTAGCTGCGATTCTTATTTACATCTTTTTTGAACTCAAATTCCAGAATGTTATTCAGTATTTGTACTTCAGAGGGCTGACATCTGATTAATGGTTACTTTATCCTGGTAAAATATTGATATTCGGTTATTTGTTCCAAGTATCGCACTTCTTTCATCTGATTGAATTACACTTCAGATGCTCATTTTGATTAATCAGAGTTCTTATATTTACATCATACATCGCCTTTATTCGTTGTTCTCAGCAGTTTATTTGAAATCACTCAGACCTCTTATTTACTTTTATATGTGTTAATTCAAGACATGTACTGCAGTTCTGATTTTGAACTCATCATTTCTTGTTTGACGAACCTTTCTGATTGGACCGAATTGATCGGTCTGTATTGGTATATGGGCTCCTGCGC